AAGCGCCTCCTTCAGAGCGTTGGGCTGGATCGCGTGAGGAGTGTTATGGTGCAGCATCACGAGCAACCCGGACACCATCACCACCACCACCACCACCACAAAGGCCACCACCATCACCACCATCCCCATGAAAGCGATTCCGATCACCTAAAACACCTTTCACAGCCCCAGAAGTTTCCAGACACCCCCGACAACCACGACGGTGCCGTGGGAAAGAAAAGCGAGGATCCAGATAGTCGTCTAAACCTCTATGACAAGAAAAGCACGGTGGCGGCGGTGGCTCAGGAGGTCGGCACCACAGTGACATACAGAGCTCAGCACGCGGTGAAACAACAAGATGGAAGCCAGGGGCGACCGTCAGGGGAACAAACGACCAGGATCGGCGTCACTGAGAGCCAGACACAGGCAACCGCAAGCGGCGACGGCGAGCATGACCACGATCAGGATCATCCCCACGGCCACAGCCAGAACAGTTCAGAGGTACGATACTGGTTTCTGGCTCAGTCGCAGTCAGCAAACCAGCTGATGTCCGAGATGTTTGTACTCGAACACGTGATCAATCAAATCTCTTATCAGGTGTTTTCTTTAAACTGCTTTAATCCCGCGTTTCCTTAGTATCTGCAAGCCGCTTTGCAACCCGTGTGCACCTCTGTGGTCTTTAAATCTGTCTTTACTCAGTGTTGTTGTTTAATTTTCCCCCTCTAGTGTCTGAACGCCTCCTTCATCCTCTCCTCGCACGGGATGTCTCAGGAGGCCGGCGTCACGCTCAGAGACTTCAGCTTTCTTTGCCCCGCCCTCCTCAACCAGATCGACGGAGGAGCGTGCGTGCTGCACGGAGACGCCTCGGCACACGGGGCGAGAGGTAGGACCAAAACTCATCATCAGCATCTCCAGGAAAATGTGTGCAGCTGCTGCCTGATCGTCACTTCTGTGTTTCATACCAGAGAAATAATAAGAAAGCAGAAGAAGAAAAACAAGCATTTTATTTTTTGTTGAGTCGAGATTTTATTGCCTCTGCTGTAAAACCGAACGACTGACGTCTTCTTTAAGCAGACTTTAGCTGCTCTTTGTTTGAAGCTGTTGGGCTGAACGGTGAACCGGGCTCAGCGTTTGATCTTCTGGTAAAATCACATTCCTGCTGCACGACTCGCTCAGTGAACGCGTCTGTTTGACTTCGGAGAGCGCTGACTCTGTCCTGGAATCAACAGGCTGCTCGGTCACGTCACCAATCAGAATCATTTTGGTAACTCGATTATTTAACACAGTTATTCTTTAAGAAACGTGCTGTTACTGAACTCTAACACGGGACCCTTTACAGGCAGTTTCTTTAACCGTCACTATAATTCGAATGAAACCAAACAAAAACGAGGTGGTGGAGGACAGGTTCATCTGGTCAGGCGTTGGGCCTCTATTATGACTCCAAGGGTAATAATAACTAAATGTGAAGTGAACGGCTGGCAGGAAGGAAAGAAAAGAAGGAACATTGAATGCAGGACGGTCTTTATTTTATCACCAAACATTTAGGGGTGGGGAAAAAATGGATACTGTGTAGCATGGTGATATTTTGTTTGCTAATAATGTATGGATACAGGGACAGCAGAAATCGATA